CACAACACAGTGATCCAAACGTGGGGAATAAGCATTTTAACCTAGTGCTGGAGGAGAAGTTAGCTTAATGTTTCACGTATTTACTTAAAATAGCCTGGCCTGAGACTGCTGGCAGCTACGGTCAACAACAGTTTTTAATCGGCGGTTTTGTAAAAATACAATATTGCCATTAGACCACTGATTTCATGCTAACAAAACACGTACTTTGTAACCTGTTCTTTCAGCACCTTAGCCTTGGGGGCAAGGTGGTGGCATCTGGGTTCCAGTAATACAACTTGGTTACACGTCTGTATTCTTGCTGGCATTTGACATTTTTCGCAAGCCAAAACAAATCACCAGATGCTGGATGGGTGATGTCCATACTGGGGACGAGTTCTGTCAAGCCATCAGTAAGATCTTTCCAGGTAATGACTGCTCCAAAAGATCTTTGTGCAGTTTCCTTTTTGAAATGTATCTTGCTTTATCTGGGGGGTTTACATCTGAAAAACGTACAGTGGTAGTTCCGTATCAAAGTTCCCAGCCTTTAAAATGTCACCAGGTAGGTCAAAAGAATAATTTTGAAGTGTGAAAGTTCACAAGAACCTCTTTTAGGTTAAATACATATTTTGTTCCCATCGATATATTTTTTTGGTACGCCGCAATTTAAGTATGTTTGGGGAACCTGATGTGTATTTAGTATTCACTTAGAAGTTTTTATGAGTAGACCTTCATTTATCACCACGCAGGTTCTCTTGATTAGCAGCGTGGTTACCACTGAGCCTCAGTTACACCAAATACCCATTTACCTTGAGAGGTGCAAACACCTCTATGAAAGAGGACAGACTATTAACTTCATCAGGTTCCTCCTGTTATGCCAAGCAGAATTAGAATTAGCAAATTACAAGTGAAAGGCTCTGTAAAACAAACAGACAATCTAAAGGGACCACTAAGATTTGCTATGATACTCCATTTTAGTCAACGTTAATAAAATTGAATGTGCAACTTCAGTCTGCAGCCCTAAAATCCATTATGCTGTCCAGGCAGAGACTCCCCTTTGCTTAAGCACAAGTGTTAATAATTCATTTTTAATTAAGCTGTCAGATTCTGGTGTCATAGCTTTCCTGTTGTTCGCATCATTTTAGGTATTCCACAGAAATGTGTTTTCATTTATATCAGAAAGATTTTCTCTTAGGTGTCGCACGTGCTTTTAAAGCAGGGGCAGTGCCGACACTAGGAAGTGCCTGACTGCTGAAGACACTTTATTCATGTGGTGTAGAGCTTTAGCCAAGTATATAACACATTGGAAATACTCATTACAGTGATTCACAATTACAGTAGGCATAACTATTACTAAAATACGCAGCTGAAAAGTTAGTTATTCATATTCATCATTCCTGTGGAGTGTGTACCAAGACTACATTTCTTACAGGGTTTTGGGTTTGTTTTTTTTTTTAGTAGACCGTGATTTTCAGGAAGTTATGCGCGCTTATAAAATTCCCAATCAGCTCATTCTTGTGTTTGTGAGCAGTTACCCCAACTGTTTGAATAACCAGTGTACCACCTGGGAATCAGGTGAGAAAAAGCAAGTGGGTAGAACACTCACAGGACTACAGCCCTCACCCAAATTGTACAAACAGCTCAACTGAAGGTAGGTTTTGCTGCAAGGTCCAGAAACTACACATAGACTTTATCTGCAACAAATGCTTCTGCCGTAATTCCTTGAGGGTGTTACCAACTGGAGTGGAACAGGGAAAGACAAACGGTATATTCATAATCCATTAACACTCAGTGCTGCAGCTTAACAGTAATACCAGATTCAAATCCTGTTGTATAAAGAACCATGCAGATTTGGCATGTTCTGGCCCTTTGACACCAAAAAGTCCAAAAACTAGGCAAAAGAGATGCAGGCCATACGTGAGATGAGATGGAAAATGGCATAAAAAATAGTACATGAAAGCCAGCATTATAGCTCTTTATAAAATTAATTATTAAATTAACTGCAAGAAAGCCCAGAGGAATGTTAAATTGGTTAAAGACTAGATGGCGATGTACTGAATTCTTATCTCCCTGTCAGTGCGGAGCCCACAAACACATCTGCAATAGGTGCTGCTTATGCTACAGTATAGAGCTGGTGAGGCAAAGCTACGCTGCCCCAGGGCACTCACTGCAGGTTAAGGGTGTCCTAAGTTAATTTATGGCAAGCTGTCCACTGAGCACTCGCTGGAATATATCTCACATTAATTTCTCCTGCCAGACAACTGTTCCTAGTAGAATTGAGCACCAGTAGAGTGATCTTTCCAGGCAGAGCTTAACACCAGAGCAAGCACTAGCCCTGCTGTACTTACAACATGCTGCTGCTATGCAGCAGAGCATCTTTTTCCTTCTACAGAAAAGGAAAACAAGGTGTCAGCATTTCTTTTTCCAGCAAGAGAAAGGACACTACTGATAGTGTTACCAGGTGTTTCTGGTAGAGCCGGAGGGATTTTGCCAGGCAGTTACCACTCCCTTGCCATGTACTCCTCCAGCCCGCGTATTCGAGACTTGTGTTGCGCTTGAATATGGGAAAACCTCACTGCTATGGCCAGGGCTCTACCATAACTGCCATTTGCCCTTTCTCTTTATACTTCCCCTTTCTTCACTTTCCCACATGAAGTGCACAAGAGCTTCTCACACATGGCGCAACACAAAATTCCATCAAATTTCTTTTTTTCTTCTCCCTCAAACTTACTCTTTCAGAAAGAACGGGGAAAATGCTTCTATACACAAACGACATTACAATAAAGTGTCTTCGAAGTCCTTATAGATAAGGTTTATTCCACCCAACAGGTCCCCTACTCACCACTCAGCTCACTTCAGGAAACAAAAAAACCACAGAACATTTCACCATTACCCTCTTTCTCTGTCAGATAAATTGTATTATTACACTAGTGTTTCTCAGCTTCAAGATCATATTAGCAAGATAAGCCTTCCCAAAATAGGAACAAACCACAGGAATCAATGGCCAGTCTCATATCACATTACTAGTAGGCAATTAGCAAAGAGAAACAGAAGGATGAACATGGTCATAGTTTCACTAGGTAAACAAAGTTTATCTGTAAAATGGATTTATTGCTAAATGTCGTTCAAAGAATCAACAGAAATTGTGCATGCCATTTGGTCTTTCATTCATTAAGCACATTGATCTTTGAGACTATGATTCTGACTAATGAGCTGTGTTAAGTGGCTCTTGGATTCTTATTTTGTTGCTATTCTAGTCAAAGATCTGGACTCCCAGAAGGTGGTGAGAGAAAGAAAAGCTTCAGTGCTTTTGCACTCAGATAGCAGCTTCTCAACATAATCTCTAGCACAGTTGTCTATTTATTTATTTGCTTACTTACTTAAAGATTACAAGCTTTTTAAGAGCTTGCCTGAAGTAGATTTTGTCATCACAAATGGAAGAAGGATCAGGATCAAGGATGCAGAGTTCCCAGTTAGGGAACTTCACTATAAAGTACCCTTCAAAAGTATTCTGAAGTGCACCAATAAAAAGACTGCACCACTTCCAACCACTCAAGTATTTAATTCAAATAATGCATCATTTACTTGCTCTAATAAAGCAGACAGCATGTCAAAACATGCAAAACCAATTGATTCTCTTTTTCTTGGAGCTTTCGCTTGAAAACCTTTGTGTTTAAGTTCTACCAACTTAACTGGGTCCATTCAGGTATTGAAAAATAAGTAAAATTATTCTAATTAATCTTTCAAAATAGACTACAAAATACAGCTTTCTTCCAAAAACAGGTGCATGTACTTATTTCAAGATTGAGTGTCAACAATGGTTCTTAGAACAAACAGTAGACTTCATTGTAGAATAGGCACTGTTTCTTCAAAAGGTTTCAAGACTGTATATTTTTTTTTAAATAGTCTTTTATTGCTAGGCAGAACAGAACAGTTATTTAAAAATAAGATGAATCCAACAGACAGTCAGAGAAACAGCTCCATCGCTGCACAAACCAACATATGGTTTAATATCAAATCTTCCGAATTCAGAGATTTGTTCAGGACTTTCTGCAGTTTGATAGCAAATAAACAGCTCTTGTAAGCTAATGAGGCAACTGGATTAACATAATACTAGTTGAGTTGCCTAACTGAAAGGCAAGTTACACCTTCTTTCACTTCAGTGTGGGTTTTCTTGCCACAGCAATAGTCATAACTTGACTTCACCTTTGTACCAGAGTATGTGGAAGAACTATTTAGCTTGTGTTTTTGGCAGCACTCCTCTTCCAAAAAAAATCACTCCGCATGCATTGATTGTACTCAACAAAAATCAAGGCAATGCTTTGTAAATCCCTGGAAATGTTCCACTCTAATTTCTAACGCTGTGCTTGCTTTGGGTATGATGAACAAATTGTCTTACAACAGTCCACACTGTATGTATGGTTGCCAAGAAGGATTTTTAATCTTCTCAGTGGAAGATAGTAGTTTCATCATTTTAGCTCCAATAAAAATACTAAAACTCCAATTATTACTTGATAGGCAATTTCCAATTTCAAGCCACGTGTGTTTAAAATTCCTTTTTGATACTTCATTTAAGCAGTGGTGTCACAACACTACGAAGAGTGATGGAAAAGTCATTCCGTGTTTTGCAAGAATAAAAAAAAAATACACGGTGAAAGAAAAACCACTAAACACAAAGACATAAATGCAACTCAACATAAGGCAGGGAATATAGTAGCCTTGAATACATAATAATCCACAGGCACCGATTCCTCATTACTTTACAGCAACATAACTATGCCAGAACAAAGACTTGCCATAATAGTTTTCTTTTAGAAGTCAAAAATGAAGTTAAATTGTGAATGATCATTTATTTTTTAATTTTTTTCCACATTGTTTGCCTTCCTGGGAATATGTTTTAGGTGCATTTATTTTTTCACCATTTCACAAACCACAGACTGAGCACTGGTGATGGGAAAGTAGTATTCTGTCAACTTTCAACTGAGTGTCCCTGTTGAGATGCAGCTGTCCAACTATAGTACAGCTCACTTCTCCGAGTCTTTGTGAGCATTAATTAGCTTCCGTCGTATCTCCTGGTTCCTGGCCCTGTTTTCTTCATACTGGAAGACAGATAAGGAAATTAAAAGATCAGCTGTTACCATTAAACAGATAAGTCGCATTTAAAAGTGTAGAGAGCGTTTATTACTCAGGAACAGAAACAGTATCTTTGACTGATGCATTAGAAATGCAGTTCTTGTTAATATCTATATATTGGTCCATTTTAACTTTGAAATTAACATTTATTTGATTAAAATACATGCTTCTAAGTTTGAAGTTATTAAGCTAAAGCGTATTAGAACATTCTAATAAAGAAGATTCAGTTAATCTTATGGAGGAACTTAATTATACAGCCATCTTATATATGACAGCTACACTTCACAGAGGAACTAGGAAAAAAGTTGCATCGGTGCTATTCTAGAGCACAGGTCAGGCTTCTTTCCTTTTAAACAATACTGATTAATCTAAGTGTGTCTGCCTTCTGAAACATGAATTTGTCGTCACAGACTTGGTCTATTTTTGATCCTGGTCATTAATTATACGCACAGATAAAGTAGTATACCAAGATGAAAGGAACAAAGGCAAATTTTGGTTGAATGAGGGTAAGGCGTTTTGGGGGGTTTTATGGTTCAACACAGAAATGCAACAAGAGACAGGACTCCAGAGTAAAAGTTCACAGTTCAGATACATGTGTAAGACGACCATACTTTCAGGTATGCCCCTGCACTAGCAAAAGCCTGAAGATTGAAGAGCCTAACCTTCTTTCATTGCAGCCAAAAAGGAAACCTTTTCATGGCTAAAAGAAATGAAAAATTAAAAATCAATGCATGATTTGGTATATATTTCATGAGAAGCAAATTATTCTTGGCCTTAAGTTAGAACATATATTTGTTCAATTTTTCAATAACTGGTATCAAGAATAAAACCCAAGTAACCCACAAATACTCAGTTCTCTATATAATGCAATAAACTACTAAGCAGATTGATTTTAGAAAGGATTTGCAGTTTTTCACTCATTATACTGATTGGTTTATAACTGAAATAATGGCCCAAAACGTTACTTAACATTTACAGAATGCTTAACTTTTTCCCATGCCAATATTTAATTTTTAAAAAACTCATCCATGGTTTTATGTAGAATAAGAACAATGGATCTTTAAAAGCTACATCTGTATCTATTCTATACTTGCGAACAGTCTTTCAGGGGCTTCTTAGTAGTGGCATATCAATGTAGCCATACTTTAAGAAGGCAGACACGTATAGCCATCAAGAACACTGTTTAATGTAAAGGCTTCAATGGAACAAAGGAAAACAAGATTACATGGAAAGAAGCTTTACTTCATTATTTTCCAGATCTGTGCTACAGTTTTTACAGTGGGTGAGGGAAATTCCCATAGACTGACAAAGGGAAAAGAAGGGGCCCAAACTGTCTTGGCTATCATGCACTTAAAAGCTTCCCTTTTAGGACACAATTGTGAAATTTATGTCAAAATTAGTAAGTACAATTTCAAGTTAAACAGTGTGTGAAAAGTTCATTTGTGTGTTCTCTCCTGTAGGGACGACAACCACAAATATAAAAACTAGCTGATACTCTTCTGAAAATATGCCCATTAGCTAGTTAATCTACTTAAACTCCTGGAGTCTTCCATTCCTTCAAACTTGCAGATGTAGTATGGCAATAAGCAGGTCATAAGCAGCAATATTTTCATTTAGGGCCTAACTCAGCAACTCATCAAGTACTTTCAGTCAGCATAACTGACTTCAGTAACACATTACTCATCCAGAAGTGACCGTTACTGCTTTATATTCTATTCTGTGCAAACACCACTACTACCAAAAAATTTAAGAAAAAGATCAGAAGCAACCTGTGAAGTGTCAGTTCCTATTTGCAATATTTGTTTGGTTAAAATGTGTTTGCTTATTTTTCTATATCCAAAAATAGACCATGCTGTTTGTTAAAGCCAGATTTTACCTTAAAAATTTATCAAAAAAATTTAAATTTGGTCTCAATTGCTCACTCCAGAACATGCTTACATTTCAAGGCCTATTTATTGATTTGTACTACTTAGTAAAAAGCAACGCTATTTCTACCCAATGGACTTTTTGTTTATTTATTAACCATTTAACTCATAGTAAATTTATTTCTTACCTCTTTCTTTAAGCACTTCCGCATCTCACGGTCAATATCATTGCAATGGCCAAAAAATTTCAAAATGTTGTGCTGATAAGTTAGGGAGAGAAAAAAAAATTTACAATTCAAAGGTTTCTTCCTCTGAAGCTCTAAATTTCTTAGAAGTCACTTGCATTTTGCAACATATTCTGGTCGTCTTTTCCTTTTCTCTTTTTGTGAAAAATGATGCTTTATAACTTGTTAACTGAGTAGCTAGAAGTTAGAGCTACTCCTGAAACTCATTTGAGCCACTCCTGCCTTGCTGAAAGTTGAAGGTACTCACCGTGTTGTGTAACCAGACTAAAAAAGGATATCTAAGCAGAAGCTATGATGTCTAAATGTAGAACATATATTTTATTGATCTAGGAATCAGTCTTACAACTTTCACTCACACTAGCGTGAATGATGTACAAAATTAAGTAAATATTCTGAACTCCTGTTGTGATATAGAAAGATGTAGGGAGGTCTACAGGCATCCTGGAGGCAACGTCCTCTGTGCTTCAGTTTTCATTATTTCTTTATGACCCAGAGAGGGAAAGGACTTGACACTACATCATCCCAACCACACGAAGAATGTGTTGTCAGTCCAAAGGGTGCAGGCACTAGGCTTAAATGACTGAAATGTTAGAACTAGTATAAAAAATGGGGGATTAAGTTTCTCCAGCTCTTGAGGTTAATAAATAAAATGCATTTACCATCTTTATGATAGAGCTCAACTGTGAGCCTTATACATAGTTAAGTGTTACTTAGTTTCTGAAAAACTGCAAGCATTGTTCTCACAAAGGCACTCCCCAGCTAACCTGATGATATTCACCATAAAAATCTGTCCTCTTAGCCAGGATTTCCTGAAGCAATTTCATATTATCAAGCTTCAAATCACTCTCAGAATGCAACCTTCTAAAAGGACTACTTTTTCAGAGTGATGCTTCCCAACATGCCACATAATCTCAAAGCAGAATCTGGTAGCAGAGCATCCAAACAACTCAGAAGACCCGAAGGAGTGGAGGTTTTAGTAGCTACTTAGAGCTATACAATCAACAGAGACAATTCCACCACTCTTTTAGACAACTAATCAATTAAAAAAAAATACCATGAAGAAGAAAACAGATGAGAATGAAGTAATTTCTGTGCTTCAGAGAGAAACCTATGCACATTTCTGTAGCTTATGAGCAGCTAGATGGATTTATACAAGTAATACAGGAACACTATTAAGAATTTAAACAGTGGATAAGATTTCAGCCAATAGAACATGACTGAAAGTAAGAGTGGGTTAATAAAGATTATGACAAACACATAACTATAGCAGTGCTATAATTAGCTTGTTTATACCTCTCTGCTTTATAAAGGGCACCAGATGACACTCTGAAGTAGTTGCACGTGATAAATGGTCACTTTACTGCAAACTGATCTTGCTTTTACAACATTTTCGTTTTAGCTAATACAGATTTAATTTTGTACTCTATTCCCATACCTGCATGTTAAATTTCAAGGTGAGCGCTCACATTTCAAGGTAACTCCATTCTTACTAGTGCATTCAGTGAGTTGAATCTATGTTTATTTATGCAGATTCCTAAGCTGTCAACTTTTTGGTTCAGATTATGAGGAAAAAAGAACCAGTTCCTCAAAAATAATTATTATACCTATTACAGTGATATGATTGGAAAACAATGTGCATTTCTTTCAGCTGCCACCTATAAAAATAAGTCCCTTTAACGCACGCACTTGGCACCAGAGTGGAGTTGTTAAAAAAAAAAATTCAAAATAATGACATCAAATAGGAATCCCAGTAACCTCTCCTCACTAGATACAAAACTTGATACAATGGGCAGGTTCTAGATTAAGAATAAAGTAAATCAAACTGACTTTTGTGAAAACGTATACACAGGTCACCCAGTTGAAAAGAATACTTTTCTTCATATTGATTTAAATTGTACATTGAGGTTCTTAGGCTATTTTGGCATTATAACAAAACAGCAGGTAGTCAGTGATAACTGATTAAGATCACTAATTTTCAGATTTCAGTAACTTCAATTTTAAAAGAGTATTTCAGTGCTTTCCCCTTGAATTTTGAATGAAACGGTATTGCTTCAAGTGAGTGTGAAAGAAGCCATCTTCACCCTTTCTGTTCTGAGACTGCTAGCACAAATACCCTCTCATAGCTGCGCACAAGACTGACACAAGTACATCCTCTTCATATAAAGATCAACTTCAAACAAAACCAAGAGAATATAATCCTGTACATTATTGCTGCTCCTAATCCCTTCATAAGTCAAACTGGCAATAGATTCCTTCGAATCACTTGCTGCCAAGGAATTCAAGTACACCTTTTAGTTCCAGTTGCCTCTTCAACTCAAAGTAGTCTAACAGGCTACATTATACAAAAAGCTTATGATGCTTGTATATTAACATTCATTTTTATAAAACAAAAAAACCCAAACAGTCAACCTTTAATTTCAAGTAGTAAATGAGTATTTCTGGATTCTCTGGTCAAAACATAGAAAGCTCAACTACGTATATACCAAAAAACAGAACAAATCTGAATGTATTTTCTTTCCTGATTGTCTTTGTTTTCAGAATTATGAAAAATTAATGACAACATTTAAATTTTATATTACCTATAGAAGTTTTATTCTCCTCTTAACTGATAGTCATTTTATTTGGCAATCCTTTTGATACTGTAGTACCTTGTACATTACTGTACCTTGTAATGTACAAGGAAAGTCTTCTTAATTCTAGCTACTGAACACTTGTAGATACATTTTAACATTAAAGTTGTTTCCAAAATAAAATTTAAAAAGTCAACTAAAAAAAAAAGAAAAAAAAGAAAGTCTCTACAATCTCTCAAATTACTTAAAGCTTTTTTAGGCAAATTAAACTTTTACAACTCAGAAGAAAAGCATAACTCTTCCACTTAATACAACTTTCAATTTTAAAGCTTGGGGATGTTTTGTACAAGAACTTTGTATCTTAAGTTTAAAAAAATTTAGACAGTGCATAGGAACAGACAGGCAATGGTATGGGAAGTACCACATATGAGATGGCATCAACAGATTCCAGCATGCTTACATTTCAAGATATTGCACTACAAGTGCCAACAAAAACCAATTAAATGTTGCTGAACAAACCCAATACAGTATACTCATTGCAAGTGAATTTTAGTATTAAAACTCTGCTCCCTTCATTGTTGTAATTTAGAAATCATAAGAAAGTGTGGTACTGCAACAGTTTTTTGATGTTAGTTCAGCTACTTTAAAATCTGCAAAAATGTTTCATGCAAAACACCTTCTCTCACATTTCATGTATTATCAGTCTTGGTTTTCTTTCTATAACAGCTTTTGCAAACAAAAATTTAGAGTTCTGCTCAAGACAGTAAAGCTATTATATGTACTGTGTTAGAAATTATGGATAACTGCACTATGAAAAAATTATAAACATCACATCTGAACATGGAGGTGAAAATATCAAAGATTGCATGTAATGGTGTAAACCGTTGTTTTCACATTCATATTCAACATTTAAATATATTCTTGTCTCAGTGGAAACTATGAAATTGAACTTTTTATGTACCAATACAGAAATATATCTGTATAGAACATCTATTTAGAGTATACGAGAAAACTGGAAAAATAATTAACAGTATTGCAACAATGCTGCAGGTATCTTAGCTTCCATTTCAGAGGCTGACCCTTCTACAGCTAAAGATTTACTACAGAGCAAATTAAAAAAAGACTTTTAAACAAGTGAGATAAAAGTTCTATCTTCTTGAAGCAATGAAAAGCCTTGAGAAACCTGAAGACAGTTTGGTATTTTACATCCTTGGGTAGGTGCCTATTAAGAAGATGGAAGTCAAACAGTAATTCGCACTTGGCTCTCCAAGCACTAAAATGTAAAGCATGCTGCATGGCCGGATCCCCTTCAGCACATTTGCTTATAAATAGACTGAAGCATCTGCCCAGTGGACAGCTGGAATATGGAAATGCTGTGAGCGTACAAAAAGAGGGCATCTGACATTGCTTTTATTATTGTTTTTTTGAGGGGCACACAGTACTAAAAGGTGCAGACATTATTTCAGTTCTTAAAACAGGTCCATACTTGTCACTCTGTAGCACAGGAGATTTTAAGGCATGTTTTATTTCTTAATGAAATCACTGGCAAAATTTTACACACAGTTGTCAGATACCTCTTCATGGCTGTTCTGCCTAGAGGAGGTTTTTCTCTCTATGATCATATAATATTCTCACTAATTCATCTGACACTCATTTCCCCAACCCACCCACTCTTTTCTCTGCTAAAAACTCCTTACCTCCTTGTGACATTTCTTGAGCAGACTGATAACTAGGTTACATTCTTCGGTGTGCAGATGAGGAGACAGGTCTGGATGCATCTTTAGTTAAATTTTAGTAGTACAAGGACAAGAATCTGAGAAAACTTCCACCTGCCAACATTAAAATATGAAAGTATAACTAAAAAGTTTGAGTTAGTCACTTAAGATATTATCACACAATATAATTTTAACAAAATTTATTTTAGATCAAAATGCAGCTTAATATATATCGTTTTTATTACACAGTTAAAGTAATCCAAACCAGCGCATGTCTGTTTTTCTACACAGCCCAAATGTTAAAAGTTAACTACAAGTTTATATTCTCTGCTGTCATGGACATAAGCGTGCATTTGGGATTTAAATTTTCAGGGATTCTCTAGTAACATTAATCTTTCTGGAACTGCAGATTATCTTTTCACTTTCCTACTTCAGGTTTTTTTCTTCCTGGCTTTAAAAAAGGCTAAGTACATTTAATTTTCTTTCTACTTTCTACAAAGATGGATCAGAACAGGAAGCACCGTGATATTTCATTACATCACTCTGAGAACTGACATATTTTTTTAGTTATCTACACGCTTTTTAAAAAATCCTGATCCAAAGCATTGATGATGCTTTAAAAAACAGTACTTAATCAAAACAGTAACGATGATGGTTTTTTTTTTAATTATGCCCAATTGAAATGTCCCTTCCTACAACTTCACACTGTTGCCTCTTGCCCTTTCACTGTGCTCCTCTGAAAAGCTTTTGGGTCTGTCTTCTACATGAATTCCCCACTCCTTCAGATAGTGGAAGACAACATTTAGGTTTCGCTTGAGTCTTCTCTTTTGAACACTAAAGCAGCCTAGCTCCTTTAACCTTGCTGCATATGCTCACTATTCCACCCTGCTGACCCTCTTAGTTTCCCCTTTACTGGACTCGGATTTTTTTATTACTTGTGGTAGCCTGTGGGACCCAAAGATGGACACAGTATTTCAGATGTGGCCCCAAGACTGCCAAAGAGAGGGGAATAATAATTATTTTCCTTGACCTGCTAGCTATGCTTCTAATGCAGCGCAGTGTGCTGTTAGCTTTTGTTGCCGCAAGGGTGCACTGCTAAATCATGTTTCAACTTCAGGTCAACCAGGACCCCCAGGTCCTTTTCTGAAGGGTTCTGTGGGACAGGAGCAAACTTCATTCTAGAAATAAATTTTTTTATTACCCCCCATTAAAAAAAAAATATTCCCAGAAGTAATTTTCAAGATCTTTTGTTGAAAAAGATGAAAGCATCATATGATAGTGGCTGAAATAAGATCACAACTTTGTTGTGGATGATTACTTTACCAGGGAGTGAAGAAGAAGAAAAGCCCAGTTCATACCAGGACAAATGGGCTCACTTTAACAAAATTCTACTTGTATGACCCATACTGCCACTGAATTAAAGAAAGACCTTTTTGCGTTTGTTTACTTAGTATTTTGTCATTCCCTCTCCTCTCAAAGAGATTACCTTTGTAGCTGCAATACATCAGGCACATACCACCACAACTTGTACTAAGTAGCCATCAACTGTTTTAACACTCAAGCTAAATAGACAAGCTGAATACTACTAGCCAGTGATCAGATTTTACAATTGTAAAGTCCCAAAATCCAGCTGCAGTGGTGGCAGCTATAATCCAGACCGCTATTCCTAGAATGCTCAAGTAACATATTTGGCTTGAAGAGGCTTGTACACTAATTTACCCAATATTTCCTGTCATGTGTTCAGCTTAACAAGAGTTACATTCCCACAAGCAAACAAAATTTTAAAAATCCAAATAGATTTAAAAGCCTCTTGAGACCCATGACAATATGTTCCACATAGTGTTGGAAACACACATAGTAATTTCTTTCAAAAATCTCCCCCTTACTATCTGGAACTCTAATATTACACTACATATACTCTTAGCGGAGAAGAAGTTGGAAACCGTACAAGTTACTTAAGCATTCTATTCAACAAATTAACAAATGAACCTTTAGAAATATGACAGCAGGAGCATGACTGTAACAGCAAAGTGATTAAGAACCCTGCTGTGTTATTGCCACCAGCTTTTGATTGCATGCCACACAAAGTCAATATGTTTTAAATTTATCAGTACATCTTTATGATAGCACTAGAGTTAGCATTCCCTTGAGAGGGTGACCTGCTCAATGACTGCGCATTACTTTAACATGTGTGAGCCCAGCTGATTATTAAATCTCTCCATCATTCAGCCTCCGACTGCTCTTCCTAAACCTGTCATCTGAGCTGGGTGTCTCAGGAGAAAGCAAGACTAACGCTCTAGTGAAATAGGTAGCATGTACATCAGCACAGCCCACAAAGTCAAAGGGAGCATTTCAAGGAAAGATTCATTCTTTCTAAACTAAGATTAGTAATCACTGCCATTGTTTACAAACTTAGATAAAGTGGATAAAAACTACCAATGCCAGATTTCACCAATTAAAAGCCAGTGTATTCACCAATTAAAAGCCTTCTAATGACTCAAATTTTCTAATGGCACGTCTTGCAGGACAGATGCTACAAATCAGAGGTGCTAACTGTCATACCAGTTCATAGATCAATACTCCTGAAATTCATTTTCAAATAGCATTCAATACTAAAATCTTTCAAGTTCAATTACCAAGATATGGTACTTAGCTCATGTATGCTACAACGGATTAAAGTAACAAAACATCTTACAGTGGTCATGGAAGGCTTAACTGGAGCCTTTAAGTACTTTTGAAGTTCATGACTGAACAGTGTTATCAGTGCTCAATACTGTATTTATGTTTAGGAGTGTCAGATTAGACAGTGATCTATAAATGGTCAGAGAAGACTAAAATATTTTTGCTGGAGGGGAATGACTCTGATAGAGTTTCAAAAGTAACAAAAACATGTATGAAAAAAGGACAGGATGAGCTATTGGTTTCCTCAGTTTCTTTTAAATAATGTTCTAATCTAAAAATAAAGATAGCAAGTTGCCATCTTCCCAGAATTTAAGTCCATGTGGACAGAAATTTATATAGGTGGTAGGTCATAAGGAATCTAAGCATGAAAAAACACTGGCGGTGAAAATGGCAGAAATAAATTGGGAATAAGCAATATAAATTGCTCTGAGAAAACTACTAACAGAAACGCTGGATAAAGAATGTCAAGACAAACATGCAATTGCTGTAAAAGAAATACTAGCAGTAAAGTAGAATAACAATATTAAGAAAATACAGGAATTGCTTTAGGAGGAAAATGGACTGCAAAATACTAAGCAAACATTAATATCTGAAGTGAGCATTTGGAGAGAAGTATTTAGATGAACTCTTTACATAAAGGCACTGACATATTTCACTAGGTTGCACAAAAATGGTCTGCCCTTTAATGTGTTTTATATGAGATTTCTGAATTCTGCAGTTTTTTCCTTCCTTGTTAAAAATTACACTACATACATATCTAAGGGATTTGATTGAAATCCCTTAAGAACTAATTGCAAATTTCTATAAACTATTAGCCTCTGAAGGTAAAAGACATGCATAAAGACGACTGATATTTCAACTTCCTTAACCAATTTCTAAATCTACACTATCAGAGGATGTTCTACCTTTATGGTTTCCACCACAAACCAGGTTACACACACACACACAAAAAAAAAAAAAAGCCTAAACTTAGAAATTCTCTGACAATGATAATGAATTTCCAATGCTAATATTTTTGTTTGGAAAAATAATACTCATAAAATAATTCCGTGCATAAGCAATCCTGGACACTAAGCATATCAAATTGCTAAAGATTTCCTAACAGCAATCAACATGTAAGTTGTCATGAAGCGATGCTCATCCGTAATTTAAAAGCTGATCTATACACATGTTCAATACATTAAATATTTAACATTAATCTGCAAAAGGAACCTACATGTATTATGGAATTCACAATAAAACTGCAGATACCTAGCAAGTAGGCAGAAACCAAAAGGCTGTCCCAAAAGAGCAGGCAAGAACACTGTATGCATTTCAATCACACTCCTGTTAAGACACCAAAATCCAGGACAAAGTGCTTGTTTCTCTCCACATGCTAGTTTCTCCTCCTGACCTCCTTATGGCAAATAGCAGTAAAAGGACCTAGCTGTGTGGAGAAAGAAGGGGTTTGGTACATTCCTACTTTTGAAAATGAAGCATGAGATCAGCATGTCAGCAACCCAGGGAAGTTCCTTTCTTCTTTTCTCAGAATCTCCCATAAATATGAGCTAAACAGTTCGCTGATGCAGAAGGAAAACTAAATTAGGTAGCTTTAGTCTCGCTGATTAGCTTAATGCTTACTATTTCCATGTTTGGGAGACAATAATGAAAGAAAGGTTTAAACTTAAGATAATTGTTTTCCTAAGATGCTTTTTTCCCCATCTCATTAAAACATGTTAGAAGACTACTTCTTAACCCAAGTTTTGCTAATTTTTTTATTTAAAAAGTTGCACACAGAAGTAATATTTTTTTTTCAAAAGTTTCTAAAGTCAACAGCAAAAAGAACCCCAAAACACAAAACATGAATTCACATATTGCTCAGAAAAATGACTTCTTAAAGCAAAATGCAAATTCTTGTATGCCAACCCTGAAGATGAAAAATTGCATGTGACCATCTACATTGCTAATCATTAAGCTCCTTCACCACCAACACAGAGCTTTCGACAGTACGAAACACGCAGTTGCTGCAAACACTCAAATAATATCCACAAGGCGGCAGCATGACCATGCAAACAGAACACGTGCTAACAGCGGACGGAAGGGCAAACAGATCTGCAAATTCCTATAAAGCCACTGTATCACTCACCATGTGTAACATTTACTTTTGCACTTCATTCACTGTCTAATTTGACTAAACCCAGACATTTTGGGTTTCTCAGTTACATAGTATTGTTCTGTTTGGCTTTGGAGACAAACGCTTACAAACCAACCAGCTCTTTGTTTGCTCAAGTCATGGGTGTTTTCTGTAAGATTATACAAAGTTTTAGCATTAAAAAGGATTCAGCTCCACACCTAAACTGGTTGGTGTTACCTGAAGATATCATTCATGTCACTTCAGCAGA